TTCTTCTTTATTTTCACTCAACACCATTGTTGGACAAATTTGAGCTTTTCCTCCTCTTTTCTCGATTTTGTCTTTTCAAATTTTTTCTCTTTTATTTTGGCGCCTTTATTTTTTCCTTCGATCTACTCATCTTTTTTTTTGTGTGTGATTCTATTGTATTTTTGTTGGTCTTCACGATGACGGTTCGATGTTGTTACTGTGGAAAAAATGCTTCACTAAAGACATCAAGAACACCAACTAATCTTGGAAGAATGTTTTGGGGTTGCCAAAAATATTCATCCGGTAATGGGGTGTGGATTCTTCCGATGGGCTGATGCAAATGATTCAACATGCCAAGAACAATACAACATTAAGAATCCATCAACGAGTTCAGGGCAAGGAAGACAAGCAAGACATAGAAGGCAAAGAAGGCAAAGAAGGCAAAGAAGGCAAGGAAGACAAGGATCACACACTAGTATTGATATCATTGTTATTGTGATTGTTGTTATTTGGTTTCTAGCCATTATTTTTAAGATATATTGATTTGTACTAGGTGTTATTTGATAGTGAAATGGACTGCATTTGCTTCAGAAATCTGAATAGCAACTTCATTCAAACACAAATTCATACAGAAAAACAAAGTCTTCCCAATAGCAACTTAACACAAATTCATATAGGTGCCATTCATATAAAAAAAACAAAGTCTTCCTAATAGCAGAACCAAACAGTTGGGATCAAGTCATTAATCAAATTAAGTTAGTTGGGATCAAGTCATTACGCTAAACCAAGTGAAATCTAATGTGTGCCTTGAGTGCTTTGAGTGTTTGGTGTGCCTTGAGTGTCGTTAGTGCTTCTGTAACTCTCCTCCCGTAGCTGCCTTTGAGTAATTGCAGCTCTTCCCTTCCACCTTAGTCCATTGGGTTTGTAACCAAGATCAATATTGGTAGGAGTTGAACTTAACAATGTAGCACTATGTAATACCCTATCAGTATTTCCAGACTGAGAGACAACAAAAATCTTAACTTAAAGATGAACTAATATCAATTAAAGCAATTTAATGTGTTTAAATGATAAATACATACCCTCTCAGTTACACTGCCACCTGATCCAAATAAGAGACCATAACCAACTCTCTTTGCATTTTTGGTCTTGGTTTCTTATATGCAAGAGTTGCACCACCTCTCAAAGTTGTGCTAGTCTTATTTTTTTTGGCCAGCTGCACTAGAAGTTGATTGTTGAGTACTTAATTGTCTCACAGCACTTGATGTAACACTAGTAGGCCTTCCACCAGATGCCAAGGCAGTTGTAGGCCTCACACCACTTGATGAAGCATTTGTAGGCCTTCTGGCACTTGGAGTGCAACCTGCACTTGGAGTGCAACCTGCACTTGGACATGCATTTACACTTGACTGGCTTTCAGCAGTTGCAGCAGTTGCAGCACTTGTTCCAGCAGCAGCATTTTTATACAAACATATATTAAAGTCAAAAGTATAACAACGTAAAATTCAATAACAAAGAGACATTAAAGCACAACTTACCAGCTTTGGACATCCTTTCTTGTTATGTCCAAAAGTCTTACACACAGAACATTTCATTTTTCTTCCCTTCCTTGTAGCCTTTCCAAACTTCTTCTTATTTGGCTCATCACTATCTTTTCTCCTGTTTTTTCCTGGTCTTACTGGCATGGCTGTAATTTCAGGTGGTTCAATGGCTGGTCTATCACTTTTTGGCCACATCTTCATGTTTGTCATAGGTTGAATAAACCTATTATATGCTTTTAGGTATGTTTCCTTCTTATACCAGTGATCAACAAATGTATCAACAAGCCAATCCTTATAATGAATTGTTGTAAGTGCATGGCTACAAGGAATTCCCTTTAATTGCCATGACCTACAACTACACACCTTCTTTTTTAGGTCAACAACATGTTTATATGGTGGATCATGGATCTCAAAGCCAAAATCACCATTAAACTTTACCTCACAGTTATCTGCAATTTCAGCATTTTTTCTAAGAGTATCCATAGCCATTGGTGATACATCAGTAATCCATTTTTCTGAAAATTCTCTTATTTGATTCATTCTTTCCATAACTTTGACTCTTATTTCCTCTAGCATAGTAATTATTGATTTGAACCTAGCACCTAAAATCCAACTATTGGAAGTCTCACACATGTTGTTCTCAACCACATCACACTTGCTATGTTCCTTAAATTATGTCCTACACCATGCTTCTTTGTTATACCTTAACAAAGCTTCTACAATACTTACTCCTAACTCACTCAAGTCATCAAGTTTGGACTGTAAAAGTACCTCAAATGATGTCCTGGCAACCTGCCAGAATTTTCTTCTCCTTTCTTCACTCCTCCAGTCGTTCTTTCAGTTTGCCCATATATGCCTAGCACACCATCTAGTTTCAGCATTTGGCAATACATCAATAAGTGCAAGATGAAGACCCTGTCAAATAAAGAACATTTGACATACAACAATGTTAAATATCAATTACTCCAAAAATGAAAAAATAGCAATACATCAATAAGTGCAAGATGAAGATCTTGTCAAACAAATAACATTTGACAGACAACAATGTTAAATATCAATTACTCCAAAAATGAGAAAATAAATTTAACAAATAATATAGTAATACCTTCTGCATATCAGACAACACTGTTAGTCCTTCACCTTCTGTAAGCTCCAAATCATGTTTGATGCACTTGAGAAAGAAAGACCACGTGTCCTTGGTTTCTTTATCAACTATTGCCCATGTTATAGGGTACATCTGATTATTTCCATCTTTGGAAATGCAAGAAAACAGTTCACCTTTACATACACTTTTAAGAAATGCACCATCTAAACCAATAATCCTTCTACACCCTTCTTTCCATCCACTTTTTAAGGAACCAAGACAAGTATAGATGCTCATAAACACCTCTTTTCCTGGAATTGTGTTCTTGGATGTCCTAATTGATACAATAGTTTCAGGATTCGTGGTCTTTAATTGCTCAGCATAATCATACAACCTAGCAAACTCCTCTCTGAAATCTCCCATATGTTCATTCATAACTCTCAGTTTTGCCTTTCTACAGCTTGTCTTACTAACATACAACCATACTGCTTTTGTATCAAAGACTAAATCTGATGTAGTTTGATGGTAGGCTCACTCATAATCCTCTCCTTGTAATGTTTACTAATCCAAATTGGGGTACACAGTTTGTTTCTTGTTCTTTTAAAGGACTTATGGACAGGAAAATATGTTTTAACATTGAAGTTTTCAGTGTTACCATCAATACTTCCAAGAATATGCCAAGGACAATCCTTTTTATTACACTTTGCCCTTATTCTTTCCTTCTCATTAGGTTTCAACTTAATATTAACACCCTTCTGAATAGAGTAAGTTTTGCAGTGCCTCCCTAAAACTCAATGTGATTCAAAAATACCATATACAGTTGAAGTAAACCTTTTTAGCAGTTGGATCAAAGTAGATCTTTGTACTTTTCCTTCCTAGGTGCTGGATCTACCACTTCATCATTCTCGACAGGATCCCCTTCATCTTCACTAATGTCACTACTAGGATCTGAGCTATCAAAATAAGGGTCATCACCACCCAAATTGCCTTCAAATCTCCCCCTCCTCTCCTTATAAATGTCTTCAAAACCAGCATCTATACCTACAGGACCATATGGTATCTCATCTAGATTTACTCTATCAGTATTCTCTTTAACTTGTTCTTGAATATTAGACTGCCTAGCTTGAAGCAACTCTTCATCCAAATCACTCAAATCATCAATATTTTCATCAACATTATAGAGTGAATCAGAATCAGAATGTTCTTCAACTCTAGGGGGAGGGGCTTGTTCTTCAACTAAAGAGGACTGCTCTTCAATTAAATGGGACTGATTTTGGTTTAAATTAGATCAGCCCTATTTTTGTGTGGGGAGGACACATCAACATTATCTTGTTGTGGAGATGAGGACACATCAACATTAGTGCTAGGCAATACAAGTATCTCCTCAACAACTAAAGGTATACTAATGGGATGTACAACATATACATCAACAAAATCAGCACCCTTCAAACTATTAAGAAAGTTTAAAACATCAGAATCAGTATTTAATATGTAAAAAGTACCTTTCTTGTTGACTCTACATCCAAATGTCTCAACATTTTTCAACACCCAATTCCAGTGCTATTTTATGAAACAACATAATATGCAACTCATCTACGTCTATATTAATCTTTTCAATACTAGTGATTCCATTGGCATACCTTAAAGTAGGATCAGATACAAAACAACCCCCATAGTGAAATTGAAGTGTCACTATTGTTAAATCCATTACCTTACGATGCTTGTAAAGTAAAAAAATAATAACTACAGTTAAACTATAAACTTACCATGACTGTAACACAAAAAGCCCTAATTTTTTGAAGGAAGTAATGAATTGTTGTAACAGTGGACCACTAACACTATCAATACACAGACAATTGACCAAAAATAAAATATTAATTTTAGTCGAAATTGGGATTTTACGAATAAATCCTAGAATCTACTCGAATTCACGAAATATGCCATTGAAGTCACTCGAAGTTGTACATCAACTAAGAAAGCATATTACACGAACATTACACTCAAACCAAAGTAAAATCCCCAAAAAATTTCAGAAAATTGAATGACAATCGACCCCTAAAAATCAAACAGATACGCACGAGAAAATGAAAAATTTCAGAACTAACGCAAAAGGCACGAACTTACAACGAAAATCGGAGTGGAACTGAGCTTCAACTGAGCAAAGGTTTGGAAAATCACAGACGAACGTGTTGTTAGTGGAGAAATCGCGGAGAAGAGAAGAGGAGAAGTGCAAAAGTCGCGAAGGTTTGGAAAATTTCGCCGGGGTTGGACTATTCTTAGTTTGAGTCATTTGCCACGTGGAATATAATATCATACGTGGGTTAATTTTTTTTCTTTTTGGCCAACGTGTACGTGTTTGTGCAACACGCACCATACCACATAAAAAAGTGTTTAAAATGTTGGGTTTGGATGGGTTCAGGGGTCCAGATGATAAAAGGGTAAGTAGAAGGGTTCACAATACAAACAGATACAAGTACAAGGGTCCACCAGACCATTTTTCCTATTTAATATACTTCACTTTGAATGAACTTAATAGTAACTTAAGATAAATTGTTTATAAAGAATTTTTCTCTTGAATAATATAGTTTGAATCTTTAAGCTATATTTGTCTTGTTAATCTAACATCTATTATCTACATGTTGCAGGACAAATATGGATTCTCTAACTTGCCTGAGCAAAATACAGAAGATATTAGATCTTCACAAGAGGATATTCCACAGTTTGGTGATGAAGTATCAAGAGTGCCGTACATCGGTATGGAGTTTCAATCACTTGTTATTGCATTTAAATTTTATTTTGATTATGCTCATCGTAGTGGATTTAGTGTGCGCAAAAATCGAATCACTAGATCAAGAAAGGATAAATCAATAATAGGTCAAGAATTTGTTTGTTCAAAAGAAGGATTTCGCTCCAAAAAGAGCCTCGAGAAAAATATACAACGAGATGAAACTAAAGAAGGGTGCAAAGTGTTGATATATTTGTCGAAGAAAGAAGAGGAAAAGTGGGTTGTTGCTAAGCTGGTCTCAACCCATAATCATGAACTTGCTTCTCCACATAGCCACAAATTCATGCAATCGAAAAGAAAAAAGTCAGAAGCTCAAAAGAATCTTATTGATCCATTAGACAATTCAGGTGTTCGTCCTAGTAAAATTTCATTAGTATTAATTACTCAGGCAGGGGTGTAGAAAATCTCAATTTAACTGGACGAGACATTCAAAATTATCTAAGTACTAAAAGGCAAAAGAATCTTGAGAAAGGAGATGTCCAATTGATGTTGAAGTACTTTCAAAAGCGTCAATATGAAAATCCGAGCTTCTTTTATGCAATACAAATGGATGTAGAAGGCCATTTAGCTAATTATTTTTGGGTAGATGCTATGTCTAGGATAGCTTATAAAATTTTTGGCGATGTTGTCATTTTTTGACCCTACATACTTGACAAATAGATATAAGATGCCTTTTGTCCCATTTACCGGAGTTAATAACCATTATCAATCCATTTTATTTGGTTGTGCACTTCTCTGGGATAAAACTCAAGAAACTTTTTAGTGGTTATTTCGCACTTGGCAAGAGGCAATGTTTGGTGTTATGCCTCATACAATTATCACAGATCAGGATGCTGCAATAACAAATGTAGTTGCAAATGTGTTTCCAAATTGTGCACACCACTTTTGCATGTGGCACATTGAGAAGAAAATTCCTGAATATTTAAGTCACGTCTATCATAACTTTGATGATTTCAAAACTAAATTTAGTAAGTGTCTACATGGTACGACAACGCCTGAGGAATTTGAAGTTGCATGGATTGATATTATAAAAACCTACAATTTGGAAGAAGATAGTTGGTTGCAAAGAATATATGCAATTCGTGAAAAATGGATTCCAGCATATGTGAGAAGGAATTTTTGTGTTAGAATTTCAACAACTCTAAGAGCTGAAAGTATGAACAAAATTTTCCAAGATTATCTTAATTCTAGTACACTGATGAGTGTATTTGTAGCACAATATGATAAAGTTATTGATGCTAGTTAGGGGTGGCAAAATGGGTAAATAATATGGGTATTCGCTCATATTACCCATTTTAAATGGGTTGGGTATCCAACTCATTTAAAAATGGGTAAAAAACGAGTAATACCCATATTATCCATTTAAAAGTGGGTAGTTAAATGGATAAAAGCAAGCAAAAAAAAAAGTGATAAAGGTAAGAAAGTCTTTTTTTTTTAAAAAAACATCTATTTTTTTACATTTAATTTGGGATAGGGGGGTGGGGGTGGGTTGGTAATTTTTTTAATTTTTTTTTTTTTTTAAAATTAATTTTTTTTTTTTTTTATGGGGTGTGTGGGGGGACTGATAGGG